CTACAGCAACACATCACACACAGGTTTTGAACTATGTTGTATTTGGATTTTTAGACCTATTAATTTCCTGGGCTTAGGCTACGGGTTTAAGCTATTTTGGTAAAATGATTTGAAACGGTGGCATGCAACCCTTTAAATAATCAATGTAAATGTCAAAATAAATGAAACCACAAGTTCATCAACTCTCATTTGTCAAAGGAAATAGCAGGGGATCAGAGCTATTATAAGATTAAGTGTACGGCCCGCTGAGTAGGGTTTAAATTGGACAAAGAACACAAAAGTTCCCTCAACAGTTTACACACGTGGGTTATAGAAGGACTGTTCTTTCATTACTTATGCAAATACCCAATCCATGGTTTTTCAGTGTACTCTGTATTATATTCCTTTCTTACCTCCAAGATATTTTAGAAAGGCACCCACAGTCTAGCACCAGATGAATACAACTGGGAGGCCGCTGCTATCACACGAGTCTAACAAGCTTTTGTTGTATATGTACAAAGTTCTGAAGTGCTGGTACATAAAATCATTTGGAAATTAAAAAGTCCAAACAGGAAATTATTTTGGTCTTGCTTGCCTAGGAGATGCTCCCCACCCGTCACCAAAAGAAATCAGAATTGCCCTTTCCTTTTCCTGCTATGTTGCCTCTGTGCCATGCTGCCAGGCTTGTCTGTACAAGACAAGGCCTTCTGTGCTTTCTATAAAACCATCTTGCAGCTTATTCTTTGCCACAATCGAAACCCACATGTTATTCCATTGGAGGAGCAGGAAGGGTCATTTTGCTGGATAATCCTCAGAAAGAAGCAGAAGCCTCATCTTAGGTAGCAGGAGCTGACCATGGTGCTTTGCATTCCAAATGCACAAAGACAGTGTAAGAGAAAGTCTATACTAGCTTCTGTGAGGGTGCAATCTGTGAGGCAGCAGGACTGCCTTGTGAGTTACCATTCTTCTGAACACCTCCCTAAGAATGTACACCAGTGTTCATGGCTTTATTCTGATTTTAAAAAGCATAGGTTTAATGTGCTAAGTTTTAGCTTCAGGACCAAAACAGAAATAGAATCATAGAATCATAGAGTTGGAAGGGACTTCTAGGGTCATCTAGTCCAACCTCCTGCACAGTGCAGGAAATTCACAAATACCTCCCCCCCCCACACACCCAAGGACCTCCAGGGTCACCTAGTCCAACCCCCTGTACAATGCAGGAAATTCACAAATAACTCCCCCCCCCACACACACAGTGACCCCTGTTCCATGCGCAGAAGATTGGCAGCCCCCCCCCCTCCAGGATCCTTGGCCAAATTGTCCATCTGTAAAAGGTAAACTGAGCATGACTCCATGATTTGGATTGGAAGGGAAGTGGGTGGGATATAATTCTTCAACCTCATTGGATTTCACAAATGGAAACCCGGGTCCCTAAACAATCCATATTCTAAAGGGGGGTGGATACAGGAAAAACTAAAGGGGGAAAAATGTGTTTTTAAGGACACATCTTTTTCCCTTTAAAGCTGGTAATAGCGGTGTAGAAACTCAATTTCAGTTCACAAATCCAAGGGTGGGAGGTGATGACAGATTAAATCCCCTCTTCCTGTATAGCATGAACACAAACTGAGGCTGCAAGAGCATACAATTTACTTTTTTTTTTTTTTACAGACTATTTTTGGTCCTAGGGACAATCGTACCAAGTGACCATTTCCATAACGCAGAGCACAGGCAACGCGATAAAATAAAAGCTAAACAGGTTTTAAAATATAATTTAAAATTTAATGAAGGTTTGTATGTCCTCTCCCCCCAAAGAAGGGTTACCATAATTTTAAAAAACACAAAAAACTAAGGAGGCTGTGGTGCAGCAAGATAAGAAATAATTACTTTGGGTAAAAAAAAGACATCAATTCTGAATAATAATAGCACTACACTCATTTTTAAGGGGTTTTTCTGTTGAGTCCTTAAAGAGATTATTTGCATTCCTCAGGTATTCTATTGTACAATTCAGATGAATAAAGACTTACAAATCATTCCTCCACTGCCAGTGAGAGACTTTGATCCAGTGAATACACTATTGTACCTTAACTATAATTGGCAAAAAAAAAAAAAAAAAAGCCCTGACAGTGTGTAGAGCATCACAGGCCTAATAACAAAGGAGACTATCTCAGAGTGTTGACAGATGATCTTCATAATGCAGAAGCGGAGCTGGTACATTTTAGCAGTAAATGAGGATGGAGGTCTAAAGGTCTCTGAAGTGACTGACATCGGACCTGCCACTGGTTCGGTACACAAATAGGACACTGCATCATCCCGTAAAGACAGGGTTTTTTTGGGGGGGGTTGCACGTCTCACTTCTATGACTTTCAGTGTCATAAGAAATGAGACAGAGATATTGAGCAATTTCCGTAATATTCATAGAGACAAACTACCAAAAAAATGATCTGGAATTGTACACTTGTTTTGTTATGCAAATAAGCGGCAATATTCCCATATTTGGGCCAAAAAACCATTATTTGTACTG